CGGCAACGTCGTCCGCTGGCACAACAAGGTAGGCGGCGGCCCCGCGGCCCGGCCCGGCCCGGCCCGGCCGCGCTGAGGCGGCCCGCGCTCTGCCCGCAGGACACCGGCGAGCAGGTGGCCATCAAGCAGTGCCGCCAGGAGCTGAGCCCGCGCAACCGCGACCGCTGGGCGCTCGAGATCCAGATCATGAAGAGGTGAGGCGCTGTGCGGGGGGGACGAGCGCGCCCCGAGCTGCCCCCCGGGGCCGCTGCCCCCCGGGGCCGCAGCGCCGACACAACCGCGGCCGTCCCGTCCCGCCGCCCAGGCTCAACCATCCCAACGTGGTGGCCGCCCGCGACGTGCCCGAGGGGATGCAGAAGCTCGCGCCCAACGACCTGCCGCTCCTGGCCATGGAGTATTGCCAAGGCGGAGACCTCCGCAAGGTGAGCGGCCGCACCGCGGCGCTTCCCCTCGGGAACCCGTCGTTCCGAGGCCGTTTTTTGCTGTTAAACCTCCAAACTCGCATCACGGTAGCCACGCTGTTCGGCTATTCAAAGTTCCCCTTGGAAAACGTAGGCGTTCTCTGAAACTTCCTTGTTTTGGCTTGGCCCCAAGTGCCAGCACGGGGAATTTGCGCGTGGAGGATGAGGGAAGCGTGGGGGGGATGTTCAACAGGATGTGAGCGTGGCCAAGAGCATCACGGGGCTTATCTTCCCTGGAACTGATAAACCTGTGTCTCTCCTAGGAAGACATGAGCTGTGCTCCTTGTAACCTTGATGCTTTTTTAGCCTTTCCGATAGTCTGCTCCTAGATAAAACCCAGCGTGTGCAGCTGGGATTAGAGCTGACACTGCCAGGCCCAGGGGAAATAGCTCTGAAGGGTGGAGACGCTATGAGGAAGAGGATGACGCCGAGTKCTTCCAGCTGCCCGTTCTTCCCTCCAGAGATCATGTATGTTCTGTGGTGGTCTCTTGCAGTACCTGAATCAGCTGGAGAATTGCTGTGGCTTGCGGGAAGAAGCCATTCTCATCTTGTTGTCTGATATTGGTGAGTTGGACCAGTCCCTCCAGTTGGCCCAAATGTGGAAGCCCTTTCGCTGCTCCATCCGCTCAGACTGGGTGGCAGTGACCTTAAAGACTCCATCGTAGGCCCTTGAATACTATACTTACTCCTAGCCTTGCTCTACCAGTCCCCTACGAAAGCCAACCTATGTTTTTTGGTTCTTGYAGTTCTAGTGTTGAGATGGAAAAATGTTACTCGGGATTCCCTAGGAGGTTCTGAATAGCAATAGTTAAAAATGGTTTTCATTAGTGAAATGAGACTGTTGTACCTTCAGAAAAAAAAAAACAAGTAGCTGCCAATAGAGCAAGTTCTGTTTGTCTCAAGAAATATTTGAAATTTACTTTTCATCTTGAACTTTTTCTTTCATTGGTCATTGATGACACAAGATTTAACTAGAAAGCCAGGCTTATAYGATGTAAAAACACATCATTATTTAGGTCATTTAGGGACCCTTAGTCGCGTTCTAATCTATAACTCTGTGTCTCAGCGTCTGCTCTCCGGTACCTTCATGAGAACAGGATCATCCACCGGGACCTGAAACCAGAGAACATTGTGCTACAGCAAGGAGAGCAAAGGGTGAGCAGGAGCGGGGTGTCTTTGCACAAACAAATAAGTGTACGAGGAACATGCACGTGCTGCRTGACCCTCAACCCTTGAAGCACCCAGACTTCTGTTAGTACCTGGCTTTTCAACTTAAAATACYGATGGGTTAATCTGATTATAGGGACTGACCACGGAGGTGAGTTAGCAGCAACATCTCCCATTCCGTGCATATCAAACCAATGACAGTTTTCTGTACCTTTGGTCTTCGGAACGTGCAGGAGTCTCCTGTTTCCTACTGCATCTCTCCTTTGGCACCTTCCCTGCATAGAATTGTTTTCTCTGCTGTGTGGTATGTTTTTAAGAGAACGTGCMCCGATCCTTGCTCTTCGTTGTGTGTTTCAGTTAATACACAAAATCATTGACCTTGGCTATGCTAAGGAGCTGGATCAGGGCAGCCTATGCACTTCCTTCGTTGGGACACTACAGTATTTGGTAAGGAACAAATATGRCTTTAAAAGCAGCTGGCACATTGTGGGATGAAGTCAACAGCATAGTTGTGTTTGGGGCTGGGTGAAGTACTTCTCCAAGGAGGGGTTAGGTCAGGCTGCTCTAGCAAGGAAAGGTCGTTGTTTCTTTTGCTGACCCTGAGTTTTCACAGTGTCTGCTAGGTTTTTCTGGTGTAAGTAAGAAGCAGGAGGGCCACTAACCTGTAGAATTCACTCAGAACATCAAAGCTCTTGAAAGGCAGTGTGTTCGGCACACAAACGCTGCGAAGTACAAAGACATATTAATGTACAAACATGAACGAGCTGCTGAGGGGCAGAGAGAAGAGCGATTTTTGTCTCTTGTTTGGGAACCCGCAGGCTCCCGAGCTGCTGGAGCAGCAGAAGTATACGGTGACAGTGGATTATTGGAGCTTTGGCACACTGGCCTTCGAGTGCATTACGGGCTTCCGACCGTTCCTGCCCAACTGGCAGCCAGTGCAGTGGTGAGTGAGCTGGCGGTGGAACAGTGCAGGCAAAACACTGTGCTGTGTACGTGATGTGGGGCAGCAGGCCCTGCATTTTGGGAGGGATTCATGTTTTTGTTTCGTGCCTTATGGAGAATGGGTTGCTGTGCTGCAGTTTATTGATCTCCAAGTAACATTTATTGATGTTATGGAAACATCAGCATTTCTGATGTTTCTCTTTGGGATCAGGACTAACTCCTGCAGGGCAGGTAGCCGAAACCGAAGCAGCACCTGGATATCGTCTGTTGGGAGTAGCTGGGAGTCTGCTAATGTGCATGCCGGGAAAGACAAGTGATTATTTCACCACTGTACTTGCTTGAATTCATTAGGCATACAAAAGTGCGACAGAAGAGTGAGTTGGATATTGTCGTTTCAGAAGACTTATCTGGAGAAGTCAAGTTTTCTAGCACTTTACCTTACCCAAACAATCTAAACAGGTGAGAACTGAAAATCTGCTGTGCCCTGTGGGGATAAGCAGTTCCTTTTGAGAAGGAATTACATCTGTATGATTCTGGTGAGGTTAATTTGTGGATATGAGGATTGCACGGGATGGAAAGTGCTTACGTAAATAGTGGACTTGAGCCCAGCAGAGAACCTCTATTTCTGCCTTCTAAACAGTGGCTTTGTGATCAGAAAAGGAACCTGTGTGTCAGTCCTCCTGTCGAAGCCAAGAAGTGGCTGTAACTGAACTTYTGTCCTTTCTGACCCTGTTCTTATTTTGCTCCTACAGTGTTTTGGCTGGAAGATTGGAAAAGTGGCTCCAGCTCATGCTAATGTGGCACCCCCGGCAGAGAGGGACGGATCCTACCTATGGACCCTATGGGTGCTTCAAAGCTTTGGATGACATCTTGAATCTGAAGGTGAGCAGTGGGCCTGGATTCYGCTGAACCGTTTTCAAGGGAGCAGATGTTCTGATTCATAGGCCGAGGAGGAGGAGCAGCAGAGCAACCTGTCAGCTAAGCGCACGCTTTTTTTGAGGAGAAAACTTACTTGGATTGGTGAATAGCTTCTCCACGTGCTTCATTCTGTGTCCTGGCAGAGAGCTCTGCTGCTGAAGCTGTTTAATTGCCATGTGGCCTCTCTTGAAGCTGTTTAATTGCCATGTGGCCATCAGCTGATGGAGGACAAGGACTTTGGCACCATGTCATGAAGTAGCTGTGAAGCCAAGTACTCTGAAAACAGTTTCTGGGTGGCTGGTGTCTCAGGCCTGGAATCTCTGCTCAAACATGACCTGTGCATCTCCAGCTCTTCTCATGTCCCACTGCTCTTCTTGTAGTTGCTTCATGTTTTGAACATGGTTACGGGCGCTGTGCACACCTACCCTGTGACAGAGGAGGAAACTCTGCAGGCTGTGAAGGCCAGGATCCAGTTAGATACTGGAATTCCAGAACAGGACCAGGAGCTGCTGCAGGAAGCAGGACTTGCGTTGTTTCCTCAGGAGTTGGCTACTAAGCATATAGCTGACAGCAAGGTGAGTGTGGGGCTTCCCTTCCGTGCTCAATGGATCAGCAGACACAATTCCCTCTTGGAGCAGAGCGAATCTCCCTGCTGTTCTCACGGCCCTTAGTTGTAGTAACCTAACCCTTTGCAGGCACCTTGTTTTCTTTGGTGTTACGCTATAAATATAGAATATTCCCCTGCCCTGGAAAGCTGCTTATATAGTGTTACTGAGGATTATTTTTTATGAGACAGCTCGCTTGTTTTTTTGTCTTTGGCAGGTGAATGATGCTGCYGCTACAGACACAGACCTCCTCTTCCTCTTTGATAACCAGAAAATTTCCTATGAGCCTCAGGTTGCCTTGCGTCCTCACCCGGAAAGTGTWGACTGCATCCGTAAGGATTTTCACTAGTGTGGACGGGGGAGGATCCCTGCAGGGAGAAGGCTCTCCCTGGTTGCGGAGTCTCCTTCTCTGGAGGTCTTCCAGACCCACCTGGCTGCCACCCTGCGTCCCGTGCTCTGGGTGTCCCTGCTGGAGCACGGTGATCTCTAGAGGTCCCTTCCGACCTCAACCATTCTGGRCTTCTATTCTGTGGTTGGTACCACGGCAGAGGAGAGAGCCCCTGGCACTGGAGAAGCAGTAAAACACCTTGCCAGGGATTTGTGGCGCCCCTCAGCAGAAAGGAGGGAGGGAAGGGCTAGATGGGRTACGAGGGTAGGAGCTTCCCAGGGAATGGCCAGCTCTATGGGGTAGACTCTCTGCTCCTCCAAGGAGCAATGTTTTGGGTTGTCCTGTCATGTCTTTGAGTATTATTGGTGCTGATAGGTACTTTTTCTCCCTTTGTTCTGTTTTCAGTTCAGGATCCGAAGAAGAATCTCCACTTTTTCCAGCTGCGGAAAGTGTGGGGTCAGATCTGGCACACGATACGGAGGCTGAAGGAGGATTGTAACCGGCTCCAGCAGGGACAGCGAGCAGCCATGTACGGTGGCAGGCGCTAGAAAACTTGTTTCTACCTTTGCTCCCTTGGGAAAAGGGCAGGAATTGGACCCTTTTTGAGGGAGCCCATGAATGGAGCTGCTTGCAACTAACGAAAAGCTGAGTTATATCCTCTGACATAGCTGCTCTTGTCCTTTTCTGTTACACTTGGCTCTGTCCTCTTGATAAATGTGGAAGTTTGGGCTTGTAGTTTGGGTGTGCAGTAYGATCTGGTTCTTGCAGGATGAACCTGCTGCGTTACAACAGTACCCTGTCGAAGATGAAGAATTCCATGGCYTCCCTGTCCCAGCAGCTGAAAGCGAAGCTGGACTTCTTTAAAACAAGCATCCAGATTGATCTGGAGAAGTATAAAGAGCAGATTGAATTTGGAATTAGTGAGTCTTTTTTGCCCCATGCCCTCATATATTGCCTCCCTTTTGCTGTGTTACTCTAAGAAAAGCAATCATTCTTCTCTTGTTCCTGTAGCTTCGGAGAAGCTGCTGTTTGCCTGGAAGGAGATGGAGCAGGCTGTGGAGCTCTGTGGGCGGGTATGTTTCTAGAGCTGGTTGCTTATCCTGAAGAAAAAAGCGACTTTTCTCATTGTCCTGCCTTAAGGAAAAACCTCTTGTAGTTGAGCTGWCTCCAGACATGCTCTCTTGGTTTGGACTGCATTGCTTTTTCCTTGCCTTTTTTTTCCATGGCTTTCTCCATGAGACAAGGAGAAGGAAGCCTGGGAACTCCCRGTGTATTTACTGTAAAGTCTGACCCTTCAATGGCTCTTTTTTATAGACCGAGTTTAGCCTAAAAAAGGTCTTGGAAGTTGTTTTATCCCAAAGCCTATTTCCTTGAATGGAAATTTAGAACCTTTTCATTCCCTTTTCATCTAGGGCTGCTGTCTGCATCTTGCACATGTGAATGTATAGAAATGTGAAAGGAAGAGCCAGGGGGTAGTGTCTCTTAGTGGGAGTGTCCCAGTGCTTATGTGCTGCCCTGCTTTCAGGAGGAGGATGTGGATCAGCTAGTGAAGAAGATGATGGCCTTGCAGACAGACATTGTGGACCTGCAGAGAAGCCCACTAGGTCGTAAACAAGGAGGAACTCTGGAAGATTTGTGAGTCAAGCCTTGTTGAACTTTGTGTATAGCTAAGCCAGTGTGGCTTAGCTTTTTCAGTGCAGGGTCGGGGGGGATGCTCTTTCCAACCCAAATTATGGGGRGTGGCGGAACTTAAGGTATCACTAAAAGACAATTTTTGATTCCTGACCTGTTGGTCTGAAGTTGCAGGCTGGTATGTAGAAGACTTGGGTTGTTGAAGTAACAGTTCATGATGTTGATCTTGGAGAAATCACTTTTTGTACTCTGCCTCTTTCTTTTAGAGAAGAACAAGCCAGAGAGCTGTACAGGAGGCTGAGAGAGAAGCCAAGAGGTAAAGGACATTTTAGGTCAAGGGCAGCTTGCTTTGTGCGGGTTTGAACTCTAGATGCAGTAAACTGAGAAAACTTCCTCTGCATTCCAGACCTAGCTCTACACTAGATGTGTAATGCTCTCCTTTAGACCTGACTTTCTAGAGAGGGGAGTCAGTGAGTCAGTTCTAAACCAGGCAAGCCCGACCTGCCTGCTTCCTCTTCCTAACTGTGAGACTCTCCTGAGCTCTTTTGGCAGGAAACCTGCTCTTCCAATTTTGATTTCTCTTTCTCATCTTTCTAAGGAGAGTAACTCAAAGCCAGTGCCCTCCGTCCCATGCGCTTCCCCGTGCTCTGAACTGCTGACAGGCRCACTCTTTATCTTATGAGCCTATTTATTTATGTTCTAATCTGCCTCCTATTCCAGATCAGAGGACCAGTGGTGACAGCCAAGAAATAGTCCGACTGCTCTTACAGGCAATTCAAACCTTTGAAAAAAAAGTCCGGGTCATTTATGCTCAACTCAGGTGAGTGTCAGAGTTTGCTCTTCTTGAGGTGGGACATTCTCCCTTTCAGCAAGAGTTATTTTTCTAGAGGTTAAACATCAAATGTGTGCAGGTAATGGGATTTCTGAGTGCCGCAGAGGATAGAGAACTTTAAAGTTCCCCTGCTGCAGCTGCCCATTTGTGACCTCTTTTTTTTTTTTTTCCCTTTAAACAGTAAAACTGTAGTTTGCAAGCAGAAGGCACTGGAATTGTTCCCTAGAGTGGAGAAAGTGATGAATCTGATGAATGAAGATGAGAATACAGTTGTTAGGCTCCAGGAGAAACGACAGAAAGAACTGTGGAACCTGCTGAAAATTGCCTGTGTAAGTGGCAATAGGGAAAAGATTTTGAGTCAAACCATCTTTTCAGGATAAGTAGAACAGAGTGAAAGAAATCAGTAGTATGGTATGCCCTAGGGTTGCTTTTTGCCGTTGATTTGTAGCCAGATTAAAGCTAAGCTCTGAGCTCCTGTGTTCCTGGCTGCTGGGACTAAATGGAAGGAAGCGCAGCCTGAGTCTGCTGTGTTGTTTCTTCAGAGTAAAGTCCGTGGTCCTGTCACTGGCAGTCCAGAGAGCATGAACACATCCCGGCTGAGCAGCCCTGGCCAGCTGCTGCTGCAGGTCCCTTCCGGAACCTACAATTTACCCGAATCAATCAGGAAAAGGTGAGGCGAGCTCCGGAGCTGCTGCCGTTGTCAGCACGAGGTTGGGCATCCYGCTTTGGGAAGTAAAGGGGTTCTTGGTGCTTGGCCTCGGCTGCCGGCAGCGTGCGCTGCATTTCCTGAGCCTTGGGAACCTTCCTGGAGGAACGACTGGAAATAACGTGCAAGTCGACCTGCAGGGGCTCGGTTTCTCTGCAAGTGGTTGGGCTTGTGTCAAGTACAGTGCCAGCAGGAATTGTTGGAGCATTCCCATGGTAGGTAAGGGCAGCTGGGCTGTATCATAAAGGAGAGGCTGTTATTCCAAGCAAGTGCTTAAGATTCCAGCTTATTTAAAGGAGTGGGGTTCCCTTTTATAGTTCTGGAATGACAGACATTGGCTAATTTGCTTGTGTGGTATTTAATCTGCTCTTTTAAAGATTTTTTTCCTAACTTCTTTTTTCCTCTAACAGTGAGTTGATAATAATAAAAAAATTGCTTCCGGTTTGAACACCTTCCTTTCCCCAATCCCAGTAAATGGTTGTGACAGCATAGTTTTAGACAAAACTTGAAGGGAAAATAACTGTTCTTTTGTCCTGATTGTCCTTTTCAGTGAGGATTTACTGTTGGAATCACAGAAACTCTGTAGCCAACTCGAAAATGTGATGCAGGACACAATGAAGGACCAGAGCCTCATGGTAACACTGCCTATTTTTGTATAAATATTCTGTGAAAGCCTGTGGTTTTGTACTTCTGCATGTCGACCTTTCCTAGGAATATGACCTACAAATATTAACAAATAATAGATTTCCACTAATTACTCTGGTTTAAGAGACGAGGAGGTGTGGGAGATGCAACCCGCTCCTCTGACCTGCTGGCCAAGCCGCTCCTTGCAGACAGTGGGAATCAGACCAGGAGGCCTGACTCTGAGCCATTTCTTTGGGGTAGAACTTAAAACCACCTTTTTTTTTTAAACTCCTTTTCTGAAAGGGTAAATAGTCTCCAATGTAAGCTTGCGCTGGAGCTTTGTGCTCTGTTTTACTCTCCAGGCTCTAGATTGGAGCTGGCTGCAGCTTCAGGCAGAAGAAAGAAACGGTCCTGAACAAAACCAGATGTAAAGTCGCTTCAGTTGCACCTGAAGACAGGCTAGATAAGGAAGCCAACTGTGATAAGCTGCTGCATCTGAAAAGGGAAGTTTAAGTGCCTCCTCCTACTGTCACCTACTGCTTGTGATGCACATGGCCTGGCTCTTAATGTCTTAATCTCAAAACACTTTGTTTTTTTTTGTCCACGAGGCTATAGTAAGAAGCGCCTGCTTGGAAAAAAAATTGTTAATTGTGCCTTAAGATAGCAAATGCTCTTGCTTTCTACCTGTGTCTTCCCTTAGGCATCACACTTGATTGTTCTGCTCCCTTCTAATGGTGAACAACTTAATGGAATCAGCGCGCACAGGCAGCGGTAGATAATCATCTTCATAATATACTTGAACTGTGAACTTATTTTCTGAACTCTGCCGATTTGCACTTTTTTTTCCCCTCAAGTGTAATGTTGGACTTACCTAATACTTGTTTCCTGTATGGGAACGACCTGACAGATATGTGTAACCTTTTGGTTTGCTCTATTTGATACCATCAATACAATTTTAATGAAAAAGCTGCTCTCCTTGTGTAGGTCTCTAAAATGTGAGAGGTAAGGGTATTATCCTAGAGGGTGTAGATAAACTGCACGTGCGTTGTTAAATTATGGAGCTGTTAACCTTATTTACCACAAAAAAAGAAAAAAAAATCCCCCCCAAAAGCAGTACTCGGTGCTGCTGTGCTTCTCTGGACCTTAGGAAGGGAGGTGACACAAAACCATCACGCTCCAACTGTGGCTGCTTTTTATTTCGTTCTGATGAAGAACCAACGTTTCCACTACAACACGGAGACAATTTCTATAAAAGGTGGTGAAGTCTAAGACATGCAGGATGCAGAATACTGGGGGGGGAGATAGGGGAGGGGGTTCTTCCTTGGTAACAAGATGCTGTTTTTAGGAGCCCAATTAAAACAGGAGGAACTCGAGCGAAATGTGGCACAAACGTTACAACTTCCATGCACGCCTTCAAGTGTCTTCCTTGGAGGTGTTTGCACCTTCTGGACTGCAGCGGTGGGTTAAAGCAATTCTTTGGAAGAGTCCAAGTTCACACTTTTGGAAATGGTGGAATAATGTTAAGGCCCAAACCCTCTGGGGATACTTTTTCTTCATGGCGGGGTCTAGCTCTTGCTTTACTCACAGCTGTCTTAAGCTTCCAGCTCGAAGCCTAGCCCAACTTTGTGACCTCCAGCGCTGAAATTCTTGCCATCAATCAAACCTGAGAGGGTCAGCTTTACCCCTGGAAAAACCATGAGACAAAAATTAAAATAAAATGCASTTCAGCAGTCGTCTCCCCGCATAACTCTATGTACTTGAGCCTCACTGGTCCTACCTCTTTGCTGTAGGAACTTCACATCCCAGTTCTAATTTTTTTTAAGCAGGACAGAGGTAAGAGATGAAACTGAAGTAACCCATACTAAGTACTAAGTCTTGCTAGTGGTTGGACTTAACGTACCAGGTCGAAGGGAGTGAGTGTAACCGAGTCCAATCAGGCTAGCGTTGTTCACTTTGGCCTGCAGGAAAAAGAGAAATCATTCCTCTGGGTAAATRTTTAGATAAAAGTGTCCCACGGGATTGACTTTTGAGGGTGTAGCTGTTTTTAGGAGAGGGCTGCAAGCTGGGCTTACCCTCTACTTTCGCATTATGCATTAGTTAAAAACTGGACAACTAAACTGGCTCTCCTGGATTTCCCCCAGCACACGTTTTGTGTTGGCTTCAGCACCACACGGGTGACGTGCACCATGGAGAAAAGGCTCCTTGAAGGGCTCTTTCTGTCCCTCGTTTCACAACTACGCTGTGTTATGTCCCAGTTTAAAGCTGAGCCACACCACAACCCCCAGTTTGCCATCCTCCATCCTTCCTCAGGAACAACAGCTGAAGGAATGATTTCCTAGAACTAATTTTCAGCCTTTAAGGAAACTCGCTCGCGTAACAAGACTTACCACGACGGACGTCTTCTCATCCAGTTGGTACTTAGCAGCAATCCCAAACCGTGTGTTGTTACTACCAGCGGTCCAYGCAAGATTTACTGATGTCTCAACCTTATCATTAACCTTCTGATAAATTGAACCGCCAAACTCAGTGCCATCGTTCCTGTTTGTAGYAGATAAACGGGTGTCAAGACTTGTTTAGAAATCGTAACCTTCAGAAAAACCTTCCCTTTCCCGCAATCATTTGATCGTTATCGTCTACAATGAACCGTTTGCCCCCACTATCTTGGGAAAAAGCCAACACCAGAAATACTTTGTGTCAAAGCCTCGGACGATGGATGCCTAAAAGTGAGGAAGTCGCTTCCCCCATTTGACGATGAAAACACTGAATGTGAATTATTTTAAACCAATCTAATCAGCACCCCCCTTCTTTCCATCCCTCTTTTACCTCGTACCGCAATTTCTCAGCGAGTTTGGCAGCTCTGATGCAAAGTTGTTGCAGGCCCAGCCAATACTTACACGTTAGTGTGCAGCTGAAAGTCTCCTGCCTTATACCCCAAGGCAAAGTTATTTTGTGACAGCTTCGATTTGGCTGTATCGAAGGCCATCTGGTAGCCAGCGAGCCAACCTTCGTAGCCCAGCACTGCCCAGCCATAGATGGTTGGTCCAGAGAGATCAATGTCTATGTTGCAGCCTAGGTTTACGTATTCTCTTTTGTAGGAGGTCTTCAACTTCCCACTCTTCTTCCTGCAGAAACATTCCATTTTAACCTTTATACTAGGAAAGTATATAATATATATACTTCTTTTATATACACACAGATGATGGAGATACAACTTCCCCCCCCAAAACACACAACCCTTAAGGTAARTTAATTAAATAACTGTAACACCTACTCAACACAATGTTACCCTCAGCCCTGTTGGGCTGTTGTAAGGGCCGTAGTGGCATTAGGTAGGTTTACGTTGTGCCACCTTTTCCTCTAGCATCTCAACTGCTCCAAAAGCCTCAAGATGGAAAAAGACAAAAATATTTCTAGGTATGCTCGAAAGCTGGATTCTCCTTGTTCTCCACAGGTATTTGCAAGGCGTTTTGGCATCACTGGTCTCATCCAGCAGCATCCCTGACACTCACGCTGACAGCTGCCTTGTTCTTTAGAGGCTTTGCTCAGTTCTCTCCTCTCATCTTTAGGTTTTTAGGGTATATGTCAGCCTTTGCCTACTGTACTGCCTAGAAAAAGACAGTATTTCAAACCTATGTTACTGGGTTTGGGGTTTTTTTGATCCAGAATTCCTGCCTCCCGTAATACTGAAAAACCACATCCAGCAACACTAAGTTTTGAGTATTACACAATGACCAGAATAACTATTTCCAAAGAGAAAAACAGGGCAATTCTTGAAATCCGGAGATAAAGGGGAGAGAATATTTACCCTGTGTTTGGTACGAATACAGTGTCAAGGGCCACCTTCAACCCCTCAGCCAACTGCAAGGAAAAACAAAGGTGTCGTTTGCTCAGGACGCTACCGAAAGGTTTTTTGCCTTATGTTTTCACCACATCAACACAGAACCAAGAGCCTCTCAGTAACCTTTTAAGGCTGGGCGCTGCTTCATGAAGTCCCCAGCTCGACTGTTCTGCCCTTTCTGTAACGGCCCCTTCCTTCCTCTCACCTGATCCTCCACGGACACTTCTGTTCCCAGCGTGTTGTCCGTGGTCCATTTCTGAGTGAACGTGAGTCCACAGTCTTTGAGCTTGTATTTGGTCTCGAGATTCCCCGAAGCTTTGCCAGTATCTGTGTTGGAAGACCCAGCTGCCGTAAATTCCTGCCGAGGGCAAAACATGAGGAACAAAACAAGGGGCAGGAAAAAAAAAAAAGAGGAAAAAAAAAAGCAGCTGGATGTATGTTTTTCTAATCCAAAACTGAAATGATTACTATGACATTTAGCAACTCACTCCGTATCTTCCCCTGGCTCTYGTGTCCTCTGGTTTTCTCACAAACTCCTCTAATTCCCTACCTCCTCTTGACATCCTCGCTTAGACCGTTTATATACATTGATGTAATACACTGAATATGGTTCAAAACGTTTTAAAATTACAATGGTTRTGTCTTAAGTTCACAGGGAGAAAAAAATTACATCGAAAGAGAGAAAAGCAACAAAACCCCCCACCAAAATCTTACCAGCTGGATAAATATCCACATGAAAGTTGCATGGAAAAGGAAAAGCACATTTTAATACTTAAGAATACGGTTCTGCATAGTCTGTTATGTGTGGAAGACAATGTAGAGAGCTATAACCATTTTATTTAAGAATCAAAACTTCCTGCAAGGAAAATTATTATAGTAGGAATACTATTCATTTCTAATTAAGTTTTGCATTGTAAGCATGGAGGAGGAGGCTGAAAATGAAGTTAAGTCAAGTCCATCTCCTTATCTTTGGGATAAAAGGTCAGCTTGGAGTCAAAAAGCCTATAAATCTTGTAATAAAATGGCAGAGGAACCCAACTACGTTCATAAGCAGAAGAGAGAGCCATTTAGGGTGAAGAAACTCTTATGCTTGGGGATGTGGCAACAGGAATCCTTGCACACCACAGGAAAAGGAGTCCTGACCCATGAGTTTTATGCAYCACTGTGGAAACACATCCGTTAGCTACAGGTTGTAAAGAACTGAAAGACTAAAGCAACGGCTCCTAACTAGTTATTGCTGCCGTCTCAGGAACGTGTCCCCTGCCTTGCAATCCCGTCCCCTAAATGTCATCCCCTACGGAATGAACTTACCACTCCGCTGGAAGACTTGGTCTTCAGCTCTAACTTGACCATTCCAAATCCTGAAAGGAGAGGAGGACAGAGCTTGCTTCACGGGAATGGTGCAAAGGGAGCCTGGTTCTAAATTCCACCTGGATCACTGGCCTGGGAGCAGCCCGGCATTCCAGCGGGTGTTGATCTTGCTGAGGAACAACTAAGGCACCTGGGCAATCCAAGGCAGATGGGCTCCTTTCCCACCCGGCTATCACAAAGCATTCCTTTTTTCTTTAAGGGGATATTGAATTGTTGTTTAGCTCTCTTTGAAGAGTTAGCAAGAACGGGTAGGTTTTCAGCACATAAGGGGCTATCACAGCCATGGCCAGGCTCAGAGGATTTTACCCATGATTTTCCTCATCAATTCCTAGGAAACTTTCCATAAGCAAGGGCGTATTTTCCAAAGAATCTATAAGCACCACTTGAGACTTCCAATGACAGGAACTGTGGTGCTTTAATAACTCCTGTCAGTATTTGCAGCACCAACGAGGACACGGCTGTGRCGGTCTCAGATCAGAAGCAAAGCTGTTTTATATAAAAGGTGCATCTTTTCCTAAACCATCTATTTGCAGTGGAGAAAAAGGAAAAGCAGCTTTCAGGCGGGCGGCTGCCTTATCACTCACCATAGCCCTTATTGAACACGTCCCTGGCCGACTTCCCCAAGTCGCTGTAGGAAGGTGGGACAGCCATTGGATCTGAAACACGTCGGAAGCTGTAATAAACTCCACTTAACAACGTAACGTCTAAAAACGCTACCCCGGGCATTTCCAAGCAGGTGGCACCTTCTRTGTGTTTTGGAGAAACACATAGAACACATTTTTTCCTCCCCAATTTTATCTGCCTACCCATCTTTTCTCCTCTATTGTAATACCACTGGGTTTGCTCCCTATTTCCTCTTGGCATCCCCTATTTCTTGCTGACGGGAGCTCTGATTTTGAATGCTGCTTTCAGCAAAACTCTCACACATTCCTGGCCAAGAAATCTATTCCTGTGGCACCTGCTGACGTTGCCTTCCGGAAAACAACATTAATCAACACCCAAATAGTTTTGCAAAGCACTCGGCTCCTGTCGCAAATGCAACAGGATCTTTAGGAACTAATCTTGCCTGCCTTTCCCAAAGTGAAATATTCGGATAATTTGCATCTTCAGGCRGACAAATGCACTACGTTCGATAACTTGATAACTAGCCTGTACTATACATTTATCTCTATATACCTGTGGGTTTAGAGGAGCTAAAACAGGTGGCCATCACTGCAGATTCCTGATCTGAAAATCAGGACATAAACCAGGTGCTTCACAATACGAGCATGCAAAAAGGCCCTGTTACCTGTCAGAGATGGAATTCAAGCAGAAATTGGTGAACTATTCGTGACTGAACACACCGAATACGTCTTTTTACAACAGCTTAGCTCAAGTTATCACAGCAGATCTGGCAACGCGGATTTATCTTTGTTTTTACCCATTACCTTTCTACCAGCGCTGCCTTTTGGGGATCAGCCCAGCAATGGGAAAGAGGACACGGAACCGTAGGGATTTGGGGTGACCTCCAGAGCACAGCCTCTCCTTCCCGTTTTCTGTGGCAAGGCCCCATGGACAGGAGCCTTTGGCGCGGCCGGAGGCGGCTCCTTCCCGCTCCCGGCTCCACGGGGACACCCCGAGCGCCCCGGTTGTTCATCCAGCCCCGTTCCCGCGTCCTCACCACGCAGCCGAACGCCCCATGTTCCCACGGGAACACGAAATGGCTCTTTGCTCCTTATTTTGGGAATAACCCAAGCCCACAACCACTGAGCCCGAATCCACTGATTCCTTATTTTGGGAATAACCCAGCCCCGACCCACGGAGGCCGCAGAGAGCAACACGAGCCCGAGCTCTAGGTGCTTAAAAGAAGCATTAAAAGACTTATTTTTTAAACTATTTCTCCCCAAGCGTGATCCGCCCTCTCTCCCCCCGCTCCCTCACAGAACTATATATCGATACACGGCGGGGAGGGACAGGGCGGGGCGCTAAGGGCTGCCGCGCGGGGCCGCCGGCGGGCTCCC